TGAGAAGATAGAAATTTTGGTTCAAGCTTCTAATTTGTACGCTAACTGGGTTCCCCTGCTCCCTGCTCTCCCCAAAACCTGGAAATGGAACTGGGAACTTACTCTGTACCCTTAAGGATATGATCGTAACGTCTGAGTTGGTTCATCAACAAAAACTACGAAATCATAATTCAGATATTGGTACAGATGTGACCAAAATGCAGAGAAAATTTGAATATCTGGCATTTTCTCCGAGATATAAGAACTTCTACGCAAGAAAGCCCTAACCAATTTTATCTGGCTAAAGAATAATACGCAAGGCTTTGACCATCAGGAATATTGGTACCTGCTTTAAAAAATAAGGTCACTTATTCATGCTGAAATTTGTAGTTCATGCTGAAATTTGTAGTAGATGGAAAGAATGATATTCAAGAGATACATACCAATTGACTATGAAAACATCTTACGATACTGCTGTCTTTCCTTGTCGCGTCTATCATTTATCTGCACCAATTTTAATGGTTCAAGTTTAATTCTCTTTGAAAATTTCATTGCAAAGTATAATTACAGGATTCAATTTCATCTACCAACCTTCTTCACAGCAGCAGCAAGCTCTTTCTTTATTCCCCCTGGGAAGTGCCAAATATGAAGAAAAGCTATCAGTCAGTTAAAGATCAAAGGTAAGATGGGTACTTCCCAACTAATAAACTTTAAAACACTTAAAAATAACATTGAAGTCCAAAACTCGTATTAAGGAAAATAACATGGCATTGAATACATAGTACGTTGTTAGCAGCATACTTAAAGTTTATCACTAACCATCATTTGGCTCCAACTGCAGTGCTTTCTTGAAGCTTTCAACTGCAGCATCAACATCATTAAGCGCCATGTGTGCCTGCCATTACAGTTATAGAAGAATGATCTACTTAGATCAACTGCAAACTGGGTTAGATGGACAAATGGTCTCCTAACAAAAACCTTAAAAATGAGAATCTAAATGGGGAACCTAAACTGCAAAAAGCAAAGAATTTGAAACGGCAGAATTCAATGGTTTGCATCTCTGCAATTTTTCTCTAAACAGGCTAGATCAGAGCATCAGACTAACCTGCCCTTGACGAAATAAAGCTTTTGCATTGTCATCTCCATCACGCATTGCAAATTCTGTGTCCAACAGTGCTCCTTTCAGATCACCTAATTTCAATTTACAGGCCTATAGCCACAAAAACACCAAATATTAGAGAATATAATGGTCAAAAAGAGTAGATGGACCAAAATTGTGGTATAAAACATATGAAAACCTGAAAGAGAACACATTGGCACAAGATGTTAAATAGTTGAATATAAGTCAATGTTTAATACTTCTCCAAACATAGGATATTGAGCACAAATTAGATCAGAAAGACAATATGCAAGGCATCTTCTAAAAGGGTGAGACTTGTTATCTGGTTTTGTCATATTTATATGGGTTCACTTGCTATCAAACAGGTGATGCTGTATGCGAGGCCCAGCAGTAGTCGCAGCATAGCAAAAACATCAGGAGATTAACAGACACTTATCATTTCAATAATCATTGAATGGTTTATTAGAAGAGTTATTTTTAATTTGGCAATTAGTGATACATTTGGTGAATTAAAATAAAAATAAAATTTCATGCTAAAGATCTTCACATCAATACAATCAAGAAGTGATACTGATAACTTACAGAGCTGTTTGTAAATATTTGCGATTTTGTCTTTCTCAATGCTGTGCTTTTCTCTGCAAAGCAACAAAGTAAACAGTGTAAAGTAAATATTGTATATTAATAGAAAACCATGCTATATATTTAATGTAGGGGAAAACTGAGACAGAGATAACTTGCGTTCATCAATTCCCTCTTTCTCCCAGCAGATATCTAAATAGCGTAGGGCCTTCATGTACTTTCTAAGTGCCATCTTATAGTCTGGTTTCTGTTGAAAAAACATTAACACAGAGTCACAGATGACACAGGACAATAAGTAAAGTTGAAAACCACAAAAGCAAAAAGCACAAAGCAGCATCCTTGAAACAAAGAATCAGAATTTCTTGAACAAAAAAAAAAAAAAGGTGTCTAGTCCTAGGATAAAAGTCTTTTATAGACAATTACATTCAACAATCAGAGCATTGCTGCAAGATGTAGCCCTAATACCAACTTGGTACCTTGTAATGCTCATTTCCAAAAGCTTTAACAGAATCCACAGCATTAACCCACCAAGCAAGCTCATCAGGACTCTCATCAAGGTCAGCAGGCCAATCAGGATATATATCACCATCATTAAAAAAGTTAGAGATCCCATCATCTGCTCCCTCAGGAATTTCTCCACAATCCACAATAATAACATCTACAGTTGGACAATCAGCTTCACCAGTGGTTACGTGTTCAATTGAACGAACAACTCCCATCCCTTTTACAACCTTGCCAAATACAACATGTTTTCTATCTAAATGAGAAGTACGAGTTGTGGTAATGAAGAACTGGGACCCATTTGTGTTAGACCCAGCATTTGCCATAGATAACATTCCTTTCCTTTCATGCTTCAACTCAAAATTTTCATCTTCAAATTTCAAACCATAAATTGATTCTCCGCCACTACCATCTCCTGCAGATATATCTCCACCTTGTATCATAAAGCCCTTAATGACTCTATGAAAACGAACTCCCTAAATAAAGATATAAACAGCAATAAATCAACAAACACATAATCTTTAAGCCCACCCATCATAATTTATAATCAGTAAGATACTCAGTAATACAAATTGTATGCAAATATATAAAAAAATGAAAAATAAAAACTAGCTCAGATTGTCAAACCCTGAAAAACATAAAGCTGTACTGACAAACTAATCCCGTTTGTTGCAGATGTTATCAATTAAACTAAGAAAAAAAAGAAAAAAAGAAAAAAAGATGAATTCTAAGTTTCTAACTCCTATATTTACAGGCATATGCACCTATTAGAAAAGACTTCAAGCCAAGAAAATGCTTGGTAAACAAGTAATTTTGAACTTCATTATATTCTCCACAAAAAGCTAAGTTATGAACTTCCGAATCACAGACATATCAAAAGAATTTTCCATAAACGTACAAATATGGGAGAGACAATTTAAGGCACATGCTATCATCATTAAAACCAACACCAGTTTTCTAAACAATCCCCAATCAAATCCTACTGGCAATTTGGATTGAAGACAACACTGCCCTTCAGATCTTAATATATAAGAGTGTTCACAAATGACATAAAACCAGCAAAACCAAGTGATACCCCCACAATTTCTCTAATCTACCATTAATATGCAAGTATTTCCACAAACAAAATTCCACCCAGATTCAAAGATTACATTTTTATGGCAACCCAGATTCACAGGCATCATATTATGTCAAGGGTGTAAAAATACAAAAGAAACTAAGAAAAAAGAAAAGCAGAACACTTGTTTCTCTAGATAAATTCAAGGACACTACAGTCTTTTCATATCACCAAAAGCAAAACCCACTGTAAAGGCTTAAACCCAGATAGCAGATATAAGCACACCGAAAAAGACGCGCCCATACATACAAACACATACAGAACACACAAAAACGGTGGCCATAGAAACAGAACAAGTCAGAGGACCTTGTAATGGAGAGGAACGCCAGTGTTAGGGCCAATGCCCTTCTCCCCAGTGCAAAGAGCCCTGAAATTCTCCGCAGTTTTGGGCACCACATCACTGTACAGCTCCCCAATGATCCTCCCTTCAAGCTCCCCTCCAATGCTTATGTCCAAGTAACACCTTGGCCTCCTCACCTTCTCCATCTCTCCCTCCATCTTCTGCGCGTATCCACTAAAGACCCAAATCTATCTACTCCTTTTCTCTAGAAAGCTCTCTGCAAAACCCTAATCCCGCATTTTCAATCAATTCTAAATATTAAAAAGGAGAAATCGTCTCTGTTGGATGTTGGAGTTGGGACAACCAGTAGACGCTTCCCTCTTATATTTGCAATTTTTTTCCTTTTTAAGAAAAATGCCTTTCCGCAAATTAGTCCCTGTATTTTCTGAGCTTTTATAGTTTCATCCCCCTAGTTAATAAGTTGACTAGAAGCGAAGTGAGTGACATCGCCGTTATCTATATGGTTTAGTGATAGTTTTACTTGTATTTTCAACAGTAAGTTTAGAGTTTGATTTATAATCTTTAAATGTAAAAAATGTGAGTGACATTTAAAAGACAAATTTATGTGTCCTTGAGTGAAATTTTTCTATCAATAGATGATAATGAAAAATTTAAAAATATTAACTTTTAATTTTTTCTATTTTAAAATTAATTAGAGGATAATACTAATGTGAAAAATAAAATTTTTAACCAGAATATTAAAAATTAATATCTTTAAATAAAAAAAATTAAAAGTTAATATTTTAAAATAAAAAAAATTTAAAATTAATATTTTTATTTAAAAATTAATAAAATTAATATTTTAAAATAAAAAATAAAATTAACATCCTTATTTATATCATTTTTTCAACAAAACTTGCTTGAATAAGTTGCGGACTTTTTGGTAAACAATTGCATCTCAAAAGGATTAGAATGCTATGAAAAGAAAAGGACGGATTGTGACAATTGATAGCATGAGAAGCAGGATCAATTTTGCAAAATGAAAAGTCCAGGGGCTATGATATGGCCTATGGGGGCAGTACGTGGATGGAGACAGGTGTGTTGCGTTTTCAACAACTTTGAGTTAATCCACGGGGAAGATTTGAACAAGGTGGCCCACCCCCAACTCTTTGACAAGATCTCAGGACTTGTTTGGACGTGCGGATTCGGTATCAAAAGTATCGAAATGAGAG